TTTCAGGCCCTCAGCTACACTCCCCTTTGTGATACAATACAGCAATTCTTCCTAGGAAAGCTGTGTGGAAAAATGAATTCCTAAAAATCCAGCTATGCGTCCCTTTTGACTTGCATCATTAATTCAGGGATGTTTTCACCGCTGATTTGGAAGTGGTTCCTCAAGTTTTAAGCTAGCTCTCCCCAAGTCCCATTCACTCCCCCTTATCCGCATCCCCAGCCTCACTCAGTGTCAAGCAGTTAATGATCTTAAAAACATGTACACTCTCCAGGGAACCAATTAATTAAAGGAAAAGAGTGAATTAATCCTTCTCTGAAAAATCGAGTTTGTGACTTCAGAATTACCACATAAGATAGTCTCTCTGGGTGGCTCACTGCCAGCCATGCACACGTCCACTAAACAGGTTGTGCGAGCCTCCCGTGTGCCAGGCAGGTCATTCTCCTCTGCTGGAGTGTGACCTTCTAAAAGAGGCTCTGACCATTCAGATGATATAGCACCCTCTCTCATTTGGTCTTCCCATTTCTTGATGTAGTTTTCTTCAAGCTTTTCCTTGACTAATACCAAATGCCTTGTGTATTTGTTTGTCTTTCCCCTCCTCCACAATGTAAGCTCCAGACGTTTAGGATTTTCTATGGAATCTTTGCTTCCCCTCTCCTCCGAGCATTAACACAGTGCCTAGGGCATAATATACACTCAGTAATTGGTGGCTGGATGAATGCATCAATCCATGACAGCAGGCAGTTATACTAGAAGTAGAATTATCATGGATGGCCATCTCCCCTGCTGCCACCGCTCCAAGTCACTTCCATCACATGCCTAGACTCCAGACGTCCCACAAGCTCCTGCTTCCATTCTTGCCCGAACCCATTTCTCAATCCACCACAGCCTCAATGATCTTTTTATTTATTTATTTATTTTACTGGGGAACAGTGTGTTTTTCCAGGACCCATCAGCTCCATGTCAAGTAGTCGTTTCAATCTAGTTGTGGAAGGCGCAGCTCAGTAGCCCATGCAGGGATCGAACTGGCAACCTTGGTGTTGTGAGCACTGCGCTCTAACCAACTGAGCTAACCAGCCGCCCCCACAATGATCTTCTAAAAACATAAGTCAAATGATACCACTCTCTTCTTCTAATCCTCAAATGGTGTCCCATCAAGGAATAAAATGCAAACTCCTTACATGGCCTCAGGATCAAGCCCTGCCTGCCCAATTTCATCTCAGACCACGCTGGCCTGCTTTCCGCCCTCCTCACATGCCACACTCGTTACCAAGGGCCTTCGGGACTGTTTCCTCTGCCATGGAGGCTCCTTTCTCCCCTGTCCCAACCTTGTATGACTGGCTCTCTATCATTAAGTTCTCGGTCTAAGAGAATTTTATATGATTTGGTGTCCTGCCACATTATATTTTCCTCATAGCACTTATCACCATTTGAAATTATTTATATACTTGTTTACAGGTTGTCTATCCCCATTCTTCCACCGTCCCCACCACACAGGCACTAGAATGAAAGTCCCATCAGATCTGAAACCTTCCTGTCTGTTCACCACTAGACGCTAGCTGCTTAGAGTAGTTCCTGGCACTTACTAAGTGCTCAATAAATCCATGTTGAATGGATGACTGAATGAGCAGATAAATAGATGGATGAATATATCGAATGCTTTGGGAGTACCATGGAAAGAGGAAGAAACTCTGCTATCATTTTGTTTTTCTAAGTCATAGCATAGAAACGGAATTCTGAGTCTTTGCTTTCTAAAAGATGGAAACAGTCTTTCTTTAAAGGTCAGTTTCTCCAAGAGGCCTTTCCTGACACACCTATCTAAGTTAGGTCTCCTCTGACTGCCTCTCATATTGCTCTGTACTTTTCTTTCATTTTCATCCCAAGGTTACTGCTTGCAATTGCCACGCAATTGATCACTACTGGTCTGGCAATTCAGTCAAAAGGGTAGAAACAGAAAACCTCAGGCTCAAAAAAAACCTGTCCAGGCACTACTCCAGCATGACATAAAACTCATCTCCATGAGGGGGTACAGACAAAAACTGCAAAGAAGGAATTACCTACTATTTGTCACAGTTCCCACATAATAGGTATTTAATAGACATTTGTTGAATTAAATAAATGAATGATAGATGGATGGAAAAGATTCTGACACGGAACTAAATATTTGGAATGATTCTCAATCTTGTAAAGGACTATACCTCAGGATTAACCTGTTCTTACAAAAACTTCCTTTTTAGTCTTTGTCAGACATAGAAAACAGGACTGGGCAGACCACTACTGTGACCTTCCACAGCATTCCTTCCAGTTTTATGTATTATTACCTAGCTTTCAACTGTGATATAAATTATATCAGGTCTATACACAAGGCAAAAGATACCTATTTTGAAATCTATATTTTAAAATGTTTCTCTCTTTTGAGACCTTAATTGTAACATTAATGTTCCAGTGTTGTTTCACATAATTGCTTATATACCACAAGGTGGCTACGTTTTATTTCTTCAAATTTAATTGAAACCCAAAGGACAATCTCTCTGTATCACATAGAAATATAGAACATTAATGAGTAAACCATCTGATACTTACACTCCCTTTAGACTTTTTGGATCCTACAATAGGAGGCAGTGAAGAAGCTTTCTGACTGTGGAAACAAATTGCAATTTAGAAATACGAGTTTTATTTACAAACGATATATAATGCAAAATAATTGTCATCCCAGCTTGTCATCCCAGCCTGGAAATCAACTGTTTACTGATATCACTGTTTCACAAAAAGTACCATATACTTTCCCAATTTCACAAAGATCACATAAAATATCTAAATTCCATTCCAAAAGATGTTTCATGTTTTCCTGTATACTATTTTAATTGATACTTACAATAANTTTTGTTCTTCAGTCTAGTTGTGGAGGACGTTGCTTCAGTGGCCCAAGTTGGCACCATCATTGCGCTCTTCCCGGACGAGGCACATCAGTCGCTGGCTTCTGGACGGCCGCTCACTGTGGCTGCTGGCCACTCATGCTGGCTGCTGACTACACATGGTAGCCCATGGCAACCCACTGCAGCAGGGGCTGCAGCCCACCCCGTCGCCAGCGACTCACGGCAGCCCAGCTCCAGGTTGAGCTGTTGTTCAGCTTCTTAGCTGTGGAGGGCCGTGTCACTGGCCCTCATATCTGGCGTACCAAGCCAGTTCTTAACCATCGTGCCACTCGGCCAGCCCTGATTAATGCCATCTTTTAAGCAAGCATCATACTACACATTGCTACAGTAATTCAATTCAACTTCGAAAAGTAATACATAGATAACATCTTTTAAAATGTGTACATTTTGGCACCCCCAGTGTGTATGTGTGTGTGTGTGTGTGTGTGTGTGTGTACACACATACATATATATGCGCACACACACACACACACACACACATATAAGAGTGAAAGAAGACAAAGGAATGGAGAGGGTGATTTTCCTTTCTTTTTTGGGATTTTCACATGTGACTTACAATTTGGACCCACAGATAGTCAATGGTATTTGGGGAGAATAGGGAATAAGGGAATTTTGCCATCTCATACAGCTATCCCAGTTGATAAAATAATGTTACTGAGTATTTCTTCTGTGCTAAATACCCATTAACACAAATATTTACCAAATTTATAGATAGGTATCATTATCATCACTTTATAGATAAAGGAATTCACTTTCTCAAGGTCACCACAGTCTGATCTGCCTGCTACACTGAAGCTTCCTGATGCCAAGGCACTAGAAACACCAATTATATAGTATGGTTCCCTAAAAAAGCCACCCAGAAATGACAAAGTATGGCTTTATCCTCAAGTGGACAGAATCAAAAAGCAGTTGAATTTTACAGCATGTCCTATGCAGAAACTAGACTCCAGCGATACTTACAACTACTGTCCTGCCCTTTGCCTCCCACTCACCTTAGCATATCTGATAGGAATCGCAAATCTCAGGCTCAAACAAACAAGGAAAAAAAGCCCTTTAATCATCCCGTCACTTCACTGAAATTGGGATTTTTAAATAGTTCCCAAGGCAACTTTCAACAAGATCCAATCAACTCAGGTTTCCTTCATTACCACAGAAAGCCATTTCCAGCCCTCACGAAAACATGTCAAAGACACACTGGCCGTAAAACATCAAGTTTACAATAATTCTGTGAGGGCTTTGCCTCA